CACGCCTTCTGTTCTTACTCAGGTCAACCGAACCATCCAAAAGAACAGCTATGGGATGCATCTGTTCAAAAAAAGTCACAAACTCCTCAAACAAAGTGACAAAATCCTCAAAAAAAGCCATAGAAAAGGATCTTGCTGAGCTGAAGTCCTGTTTGGAGCAAAAAAGCCTCCCAAATCTATTAGCTGACACTGAGCAAGAGCAAAAATTATTAGAGAATACGACACTTCATATTGCATTCACAGGGGTTTCAGGGGCTGGGAAATCATCCTTTCTGAATGCCTTCCGGAATATCTCAGATGGTAAAGACGGTTCAGCTAAAACTGGGGTGAAACAGACAACTATGAAGCCAACGAGCTATCCTCATCCTAAATTCCCAGATCTGGTACTATGGGATCTTCCAGGAATAGGGACACCTGAATTTGAACCAAAAGAATACTTAAAGAAGGTAAATTTTAGCAGGTATGACTTCTTTATCATCGTCACCTCAGAACGCATTACTGCACATGACACCATGCTGGCCTCAGAAATTCGAAAGATGAATAAGAGGTTTTACTTTGTTCGCACCAAAGTGGATCAGGCTATGGATGCTGAGAGAAGGAAGCCAAACTTTAGTGAGGCACAGACCCTGGAAGAGATACGTGAATACTGCCTTTCTGAGTTGAGACAAGAAGGACTTGGCAAGCCAAAGGTTTTTCTCATATCCAGCTGGCATTTGAATAAGTATGATTTCCATCTCCTACAGAGTACCTTAGCAGATGACCTGAATGATCTCAAGAGGCATGTTCTGATTATGGCGATGCCAGCTTTCTCAATAGAACACCTGCAAGAGAAAAGGGCTGCTATGGAGGCCATCATCTGGAAAAGGGCACTTTTGTCTTGTGGCGTTGGGGCGATTCCAATCCAAGGTTTTTCTTTTAATTTTGATATCGCCCTGTTGGTAGACACAATGAAAGAGATCTGCAAGGCCTTTGGCTTGGATGAAGATTCTCTCCGTAACCTTGCAAAACGGTTTGGCAAACCTACTGATGTTCTGAAATCTGCTGTCAAAAAGACTCCGATGGCCAACCAGATCAACATGGAATTTGTGAAGTCTCTGATAAGCAAATCAGCAGTATTTGCCTCTGCAAGGGTCCTGGAAGAGGTTTCACGTTTCATACCTGTCTTAGGCTCTCTAGTGG